GTACTGCTAAACTGATTGAACAGAGGAACACAATTACAAATCAGTGCAGTTTTCTCACTGTGGGACAAATAATGAAGAAAGTAAAATTGAAATTCTGAAATAACTCAATGTCCTCTAGGGGGGGCTCTGTCCCTCCCTACAGTGGGGACCACTGAACTATAATTATATACTGACATATTGATTCTTATGCAGTAATATATATTTATGTATACAATCTCTGACTTTTTTTAGTAAATACAAAATAATACAAATACATAACTTTGAAACTCAAAAGACAAAATAGAATTAAAAAAAAACAAAGACTCAAAGTGGTTGTTGGAACTTACCCAACAAACTGCTGTGTCTGTTAAATGAGCAGTGGATGTGGGCTTTTGACCAGACCGTAAGAGGTTTGTCGGTGAGCTGCTGCCAGATCCACAGTAGATAAGCTGATTGGACGTCTGATCAGATTTAGTCCCAGGATTGTTCCATACTGTATGATCTGTGTGTGTGTGACTGTGTGTGTGTGTGTGTGTAGGTGCTCACTTTGATTTGGTTCGTGAGAGGAGGTAAAATGATCTTTCATGCGTGCAGTGCAGAAGAGTCGTCATTCTGTGGCATCACTGCGATGCACACTGTTACATAATGAAGTGTCAGCGTCAGTTCAGGTCTGTCAGTTGGTCGTCGCTCTTCCATCGTCCCTGGATCGTCCATTTCTACTCCTCCTGCTCCTTCTGCTTCTTCTCCTCCGTGGGTGGTGTATTTGCAGTACGGCTGAGGATTACAGCCGCACTCCTCTAAGAGCTCACTCACAGTGTGTTGCACTAGATCTCTGTGACTTTACTTTATGACCTTCATTTTTACTCTTTTAGTCAATTTGTTTTTCCAGTTGCAGGCGTACATTTTTTATCTTTTTCCAGTTGCATGCGTACATTTTTTATCTTTTTCTGAACGTAACAGATTTACAGAAGCAGATTGTTCCTCATCCTCACTAAGTGACTGGGTAATTTAAATATTTGCACTCATTCGAGGTGGTCATTTTGGTGATTTACCATAATTTGATATAGTAGGTTTTTAGCTTATTAGTTTTTGGATTCGGAGACCACTGAAACTATTTATTTTATTTTATTGGAGAATCCAGGAGGACGACTCGAAACCTCACATGATACTGTGCAGGATATTGATCATTTAACTGTGTAAGAAAACCCACCATAAAAACATCATACAGATGAACACAATAATTAAAAACAAAAGTTATTAAAAAGCTTTATTGATTCCACACTTGGGAAAATCAGATCTGTTCCAACAGGCTGGAGACACCATATATGTGGTTCTTCTGGGAATCAAAACAAAGACTGTTTTCTGCTTCTGAGGCAGGCGTGTTAACCACTACACCATGGAACCACTGTGAACACAATATTCAGTGCTGTTATTATGTGTTAGATTTAAAATGGCCTTTACTGAGAGGGAACACAAACCAAGGACGTCAGTGACGTCAGTATTACAGTCGTATTTAATCAGACCTGTTCCAGTTCTTATTCACATGTGAACGCACATTTTCAACACAATGACAAAACAAAAGAGGGCTGTTGAAATAGAAGGGACAAAATGTGATGCTCACAAATCATCAATCAATCAAACGTGTTTCTTTGTCCGAAGTCAAATAACGTTGGTTGCTCAAACAAAGCAACTGTTTTACAGAATTCTAATGTTTAAAAACATCTGCTGTCAAGAAAAGCAATCTGGAAATAAATCCTTATTCCCTTGTGAAAAATATTATTATATCTTGTATTTACTGCTTTATATTCAATATAAAATTCAAAGCGAAAGATTTTTTTTATTGCTTTTTGAAATATTATCAACGTAATAAAATAAAAATACATTTAGGAACAAAGGCTGCAGTTTAACTCCCTGTTTATTTTATCTTTGCATCAAACCACAGTCAGGTTTTTATCTTTCCGTGCTGCTTCCTCCCCTTTTCACACATCATCTTCACATGGTCTGAGGTGATAAGGAATATTTTATAACAATAATCGAAATAATTTATGGATTTGGAAAGAATCTCTTAGGCGTGCTTTTAACAACTGCTGTATATTTTAAACGTGCAGGTCAGAGTGAGTTGAACCTTAAATGCAGGAGAAGCTTTTTCACGTTTTGCAGTGGGAAAATAAAGTGTGTGTGTGTGTGTGTGTGTGCGTGCTTCTATTTCGGGTCTGTCTTCCTTCTCTTTGTGGGCCTGAGCCTGTATCTCACACACTGTCTCTTCTCGCTCTCAGCCCATCTACTGTATCTGTCCCTCTCTCTCTCTATCTTCTCATCAGCACCTCCATTCTCTTCCCTCTCATCTTCTCTGCATTCACACCTTCTCCTCCTCCTCCTCCTCCTTTTGTGCTCTTTTCATGCTCTGAATTTCCAGCATGGCCTCCTTTCCTCTCTGCCGGCCGTGCTGCTGTCTGTCCGGCCCTATTGCTCTGTCTCTGTAGAGCGGCGTCCCGGCTGTTATCAGTGTCCCAACGTCATGCCACATGGCTGCGGCATCCTGACTATAAATAACTCGGTTTTGACGAGTTCAGTCCAAGACAGGCCCGGGAGCCAGAGGGAGAGCAATCTGCTGTCTCCCTCCAACGAGGCTCAAAGAGGGTGCAAATGAGACGCTGCCTGCTCGGCGCTGCATTCTCCACAGAGACCTGTTTTCTCTGTGAACAAATAGTGGTCGGTATTCAATTTTATTTTTTTTATTTTTTTTTTCTAAATGGCAAATGTCCAGTAGGGAGGCAGCTCTGGCAAACTGCAGCAAATAAAAGGTTAGGGCTGGACATAATGAGGTGTAAACTAACAACCTGACCTGGACATAATGAGGTGTAAACTAACAACGTCCACAGGAGGCTGTGTTGACCTGATGACTGTAATCAACTGCCTCAGACTCCCGAATGTTTGCTTCCGACCATTGTTAGCTTTTTATTGCCCTGACACTCAACAGCGGACTCACCACATTTATTACCTTCACTGATTTTATGATGGTGACTCAGTCTTTCTGAGGTCAAGGTCAGCGTGACTGACTTTATACTCTGCCTTAGTTAACCACCACCCCTGCACATGAGATTTTATCTGTTGATTCAAGCTAGATTTTTACGTATAAATATATTTTTACATATAATTCCAAGTACATTGACACATACACAGAATATGACCTGGTCGCTAAATCATTTATCTTTAAGTTATTTAAGTCATTAAATACAAGGAATTCACTCACAAGAGCCAAGCACAACACCAGGCTATTAGCATAATGCTAACCTACTGTCACGCGTCACTATAGGATCAAACAGTGTGGACTGCTTTTTCTCTTTTCTTATTTATGACTACAGAGGGATTCAGAAACTGACTTTTTTCTGGTTTAACGATAACAAATACTTCTTTTCTTTTTTGTGTAATTCCAACATTTGGGTAATGTGATAGCTTGTGTAGGTTCCTGATGATGGGGAAGTTAGCTTAGCAGGCTAAGAAAGTTCTTATGAAGGCACACTAGCAGAGTTTCACAGCGTTTGTCTGTCATTATCAAAAATACACCATGATAAGCTATCACTCTCAGTCGCGTTGCTAATACAGGAACACAGTGAAATGATTAGCCGATGCACAAAGCTCCCACGTTACGGCTCTGTCACTGCGGTTACTAGGCAACAGTTACAAAAGGTACATCTCATAATTTCTGTTACAATATCAGCAGATACTCCATGTTCAGACTTCCTAACTTACATTTTTAAATAATAATACTGTTAAATATTTAACTCATTGTCTATGTTGAGGCAAAAATATTTCACATCATTGTCTATGTTGAGGCAAAAATATTATAAAAAAATATAATATATACATTTGTTTCAAAACCGTTTGAAAAACCTCAATTTCAAAGTGAAACATGACAGTTTTGTGTCTGTTTGGTTTCATTAACATAACCATTTATGTAGTATTTATGTTTATTTGGTTGTTCAGATTATTTCTATATCATTGTCCTGAATCTAATAATGTGGCTTTTAACATTTATTGACATTTTTAATATTTAATATTTTAACAGTAATATCATTTTTTAATGCTAGAGGAAAATGATTACTGTTCATCTGCAAGAAGCTTAAAGCAATGGGTCACCCACACAGTTTCACATTTTTTATGCTTCTTTGTATTTCGAGGGTTCTTTGTAGAGGATCTGGAGCTGATTTGTGTTAATCCTGGAACTGGTCTCAGTAGGTTCTCCTCAAGTACCCATATCTCCATCCACAGTTACAAGCTCGCACAGTTAAGTTAGTTTAATTACACTAGGTTTAATGTACTGTACAGTCACAAATGTTTCCGCTGAGGAGGTTTTATGAATCGTGCTGTTAGCTCTGCGCTAGCACTCGAAGAAGAAGCTTACAGAGCAGGAATTAATCTCAGAGTTCGGCTCCAGCTCCCAGTGTGACACTCAGAAAATGAAGAGCACGGAGAGTTCGGCTCCAGCTCCCAGTGTGACCCTCAGGAAATGAAGAGCGCGGGTAATGAAATGATGGGCTGTAGTTGGGGTTTTTTTTGTTTTGTTTTTTGTTTTAAAAGGTTAGATGTTTTAACCATTTTTTATGATCTGCCTCAGCTCGTATTATCTGCTTTCAGTGACAGAATATAGACTCGACTTCTTTCCGCTCGCCATATGGACAATAAAACACTGAACATAAGACAAATTCACGACCCATTAGCTCAAGTTCTGTCCTCTGAGGACACTCGAGGGATGAAAAGCCTCCTTTCTTTTGTGAAAGACAGTCTTTTTCTGTTGTGCTGTATGACCAATGAACAGTAATTGCACGAGGCCAGTCCATTTTGGGGTAGAGTTTCTGCTGCAGTTTGTTCCCTGCTCTGATTTTCTGTCTGCTTTAATGAGGTGTGATAGAAAAAGTCATGTCTGTGTTTGTTTCTTCCAGGCGACAGTAACCCCAAGGAGAGCAGCCCCTTCATCAACAGCAGCGATGCAGCTGCGGAGAAGAGTCAGCAGTATGACGGCAAGCACATGGCCCTGTTTGAGGTAAAGTCACACACACACACACACACAAGTGAACACATCACACCAAATTAGTGGAGCCACCCATCACTCAAGTAGATCCTAGCCCGTGGAGGAGAAACTACATGGAACAAATGACACTCCAGCTGTTTTGTCTGTGACCCTGCAGGAGGAGATGGACACCAGTCCCATGGTCTCGTCTCTCCTCAGCAGCCTGGCCAACTACTCCAATCTGCCTCAAGGTAGCAAGGAGCATGAGGAGGCGGAGAACAACGAGGCGGAGACAACGCGCAAGAAACCTGTCAAGGTATTTTGATCTAGCAACAACATATATAAATAATAACAACGTTTTACAAATGGGACGTTATCCCGTAAAATAAACACAAAAACGTTAATAACCTCATCCCAGTGTTACTGCTAGATATATTGCTTTAGAACGACTATATTTGTCAGAGGACCAGAATTATCTGGACCGACACCTTGGGGTAAGGAGACTAAAAAAAAATTTTGTCTTAATATTTATTTGGTCTTTGTTTTGGAATCCACTCACTGGCCGAACTGAACGGTTCAGTGGGCCAGAAATCAGCCTGCGAGCCCCAGGTTGATAATCACTGCTTGACTGAACCCTGTTTCCTGTGTTTTCACCTCCCTCCTTCACATTAAGTCATCAAACAACTAAAGATATCGACAGGGCCAACGGTGGATAATTAGATGGTACAAATAGACCAATGCCAGCGTTCACTTCCTGTCAACCCACCTGGGAACTCGTTTCTAATGGCAGAAAACCCCCGTTATCTCAGATCATCGTGGTCCCCGGGCTCTGGGCTGTGTTTTTCTCTGCTCAGGCCAATACTGGGTCTAATCGCCCCCCCCCCCCCCCCACCCCCTTGTCACTTCAACCCCTTCAATACTTTAATTAGTCCACATGTGACATGGAGCCGCTGCTCCTCCAATCAGGATTCCATTCCACCGGCAATCTCTCCAGCGCCGGAGTATATTAACAACCCCCCCCCTCCCTGCCCCCCCTTCCTCCTCCTCCTCCTCCTCCTCCTTCCCATCGCCCTCTGTCTCTCTCTCTATTTCTAACTCCACTCCCTCGTCCTCTCACTCCATCTCCTTCATCATCAGCCCCTTGAGTGAGCGAGTGAGTTGTGAGGAAGCCAGAGAGCAGGGCAGCGGCCTATTCATTGTTACACAGTGAAAGCCGAGATTAGAGATGTGGTCGGTGTGTGACATGAGGGAACAGACCGGAGGTGGCGCAGGTTAAGAAGGAAAACCAAGGCCGAGCTAATCCGCCCACGGTTTCCTTCATCCGGACTGTGTTCCTTGAACATGCCGTGGAAACGGGAGTTTGATTGTAAATCACCTCATACTGTCAAAGGTAACGCACAGTGCTTGGAAATAAATCCCCCAGAATCCTCCTTTACCAGCCGCTGCCAATTTATTTATTTCAGTCAGAAGTGTCCGTTCAACGGGAACAGACTAATAGGTGTAACGCCAGTCGATCAAACCCAAGTCAAACAGCGTCAACTGTCCTTCCACAAAGACTGGACAGAATGGCTTCACCGCAGTATGAAGTTGAATTTAAGACAGATACAAAATAACACTAAATAAACATAGAGTTTAAAATAGATTTCTCTTTCATTTATGTCCAACCAGAACTCTACATATGGACTAAAGATGCAAAAATCATTCACTTTGGTGAAGGTGACATTCCCAGAGGTAACAATTATGTTTTTACGGCGTACAACAGGCGAATGTTAATTAAGTCGTCTTCCGCACATAGCGCCATGTGACCACGTACTTGTCCGCTCCGCTCGCCAATTAGTACCCTTGCAGAATTTGTTTTAACGAAGTACTGAATTTGAATGATAAAACAAGACTTTCTTTATAAATTTCAGCTTTATCCTCGATTTGAACCAAACCCGTCTTTTACTGCTGACAGTTTCCCCATTAGCTACTGCTAAAAATCAAATATTCTCCACTATAATAGAAGAGGCTGATAGTGTGTCTAAATACAGGTTCCATAAGCAGCAGTAACTGTGAGGTTATGTTGAGTCTTTTGGACTGGAATATTCTAGTAGTACATGGAACCTCTTTCTGGGACGGTGAGTGCTGAGCTGTACTGAGGACTTTTAGCTGCAGTGGTCACTGTTTTACAGGAAGATGTGGCTTTTTGTGTGTGTGTGTGTGTGTGTGTGTGCACGCTCTCACATGAGCGTCTGGTTCATCCACAGCAGGTCAAAGGGCGCTCCGATGCTCGCTGGCCTGTGTTCGCTCTGTCTGTTTAATAATTCAGCACACCTGAGCAGTAACACATTTGGCCTATCAGCTCCTGTTTGGCCACCAGAGCGTGGAGGTGCTGTTACCACCTCCCAGTCTGACTCCCTTCTCTGTCACGGCCTCCTACCACCAAGACATCGTCCACTTCACTTCATCTCACTTCACACCTTCGTCATCCTGCCGTACATATTTAAAGTCGTCAAGATGTGGCCCAGGGGCTGAAGCCTGGATGTTTTCCATTTCTTTCACCACTAAGTCTTTCTTCTTCCCTTTGATTTCCTTTACCCCGCAGCCACACAAGGACGTGAATTCTACCACGTGTTTCAATTACAGTGCTCTCTCTGATAGTTGACACCTTTACTACCTTTAACAGTTTGGAAGAGCCCGCTAAAGAGTTATGATAAGACAGTCATTTGTGAAGGGGAAAATTCTCAGACGATTAAATATCATCATGTTTCCATTATGAAAGAATGGAACCTACAAGGTTTACCCATCGTCCCGTTCAACTCTCTCCTGCAGTCGCCGTTTAAGGTGGTAGGACGGAAAAAACAAACAGGTCTTACTATCCTATGTGTAGGCTAATTAAAATATATTTCTACAATAGAACCTATATGTCAACGACAACTCCATTTATTTTTACTCTCTTTTATTCTCTTGTCAGTATGACTTCCTCTATTACCGGGCTGTCAAACTCATTTTGGTTCAGGGGCCAGATACAACCTAATTAGTTGTCCAGTGGGCCGGACCAGTACAATCATAGTATAATTACATATAAATAACAAAAGGTCAATGTTTCTGACCTTTGTTTTTATGCGATAAAGTACATTAGATAAATCTTCATATTTAATGAAATTTCATTTTACAAAACGTTACCTGATCATGAAATGTCTTTGTAATATTTATTTTTTTCAAATTTCTTCAAGCGAACTGGATTGAAACCTCAAGCGGGCTAGTTTTGACCCATGAGCCATGTGTTTGAGACCCCTGCTCTATTTAACTCAGTACGATTTTATGTCAAATATGGCCAAATTAGTATTAATAATAATTTCATTTCTTGTCAACCCCTCAATAATCCAGTCCCATTCTCAACCAACACAGATATCTTTTTAGGCGCCCATCTGTGGTCCTTGTCCCTCTGATTTATATCCTGCAAATGTGCCGTGTTCATAAAATTCAGGCTTTTTTTTAACCAAAACAATTCCCTTCAGACCAGAGATTCCCAAACAAACCTTCAGTGTTCCAACCAGGCTGATACACCCCCAATTCCTCATATCTTTAAAAAAAAAAGAAAACTTAAAAAGCTTTCTTACAAAGGCAAGATGTTCAATCATGTCACCTTTGATTCTAAAGTTCACAAAGGAAATGTTCATTTACATGTCTTTATTGTGTGCAAAAACCAAACTGCCATTACCTTTGTCATCTTGTACACCCCCTAGAGGCAGCTTGTGCACCCGTAGGTGCACGCCCCACACTTTGGGAATCCCTGGTTTAGACAATTTTTCTTATTTGACAAAATGCTTAAACCCGTTCTACATGAAGATAATCCAGTTGACCAGTGTTGGAGTATTATCACGACTTGATGTGATTGGCCACTAAAGTTGAACAGTAACGGATCTCCACCACTGAAGCTTCCCTTGTGGCCAAGTAGTAATGAGAGTTCGCTGCTCCTGTGTGTCCACTCCAGCGTTTTTTGTTTTTTTTAAGGGAGAAATGCAGATTGACACAGATGACTCCTCAACTCGTGCCTTTTCCGCTCAAATTCTTTCAAACGGCTTCGTTTCCACGGCCCGTCTAGTCTCCTTTGTCATGATCACTGACAGAGTCACTGGTTGGTAGTTTAAACAAAGACTATTTAAAATATTGGAAGTGAAGCTTTATACTTCTTCTTCGGTGTGCTCCGAAGCTCAGTGGAGCTCTTCATTAAATCACACACGCCGGATTGAGAACCAGAGGAGGGGAAACGTCATGTCTTGTGGACGGCTGTCGGTTAAGAATGAATGGAGGAGCTGATTGATGATAAGAAGATTAAAGCACTCTTGTTTTCGGTGGGTTTAGCCACACGTTAGCCACTCTTTCGGCAGGGTGACTGGACTTCCCGGTGGGTCGCTGCAGCTGTGGTCTACCTGTGGCTTTACCAGAGTCAGTGTTCCCTGTGCCCACGGTGGCTCAATCTCCAGGGAGACCCTCAAACTGCTGGCTCCCAGCCCCATTAAACAGACAAACACGGTGTGTTTCTGCGTGCCTGTTTGTGTGTGCGAGGGAGAGCGACCATTATCAGCACAGACTGCAATCCTCGCGCACAAATGAACAAATGAAATGGCAATGGGATGAAAACAGAAAAGGGTTATTTCCACTAAACCTCCAGCCCTTCCTCTTAGTCGGGTCAGTCGTTAGCTGCGTGCAGAAGCATTCCGTCGGCGTTTCACTCTATTTTTAATGTGAAGTCATTATCAGTGTCTGTCACTTTACCTGAATCTTTTCTTTTTTGCGGGGCAGTTTAGCAGAAACACTGGGCTTTTTTTTAAAATCCCCTCTGGGAATCTTTTATCTGTGTCATTTCATCTTATGTAACACACAGGATTACTAGCACACAAGCGCTGTTTTCCAAAGCCTGCTTATTGTAGTACACAGATTAAATTCATCAGGACGTAAGCCACCTCAGACGGTGCCGTGACAGGGCAGTACACAGGGTTGGTCTGACTGTGGTTCTCTGTGGTGTGGTGAAGGCGACAATACAAATATGAATTTTCTCCTGTAGTGAGGGTTATTGCTTATTTTTGTAATATTACCCTCCCATGGTGTGATGCGGGGCAGGAACTCATCTGCGCTGTGATGATATCAAAAGTATTATTTTCCAAGTCGCCACGCTTAATATTCTATTTAGGCATAAATCAAAACTGGAATCCCCTTCCCTTTGCACTGATGCTACTGGAGCACGTTAATATTAGCAGGGGTGCATTTTTATTGTTGTAAAACTCAGACTGGACACGGAAAATATTCCTATGTGTCCCACATTAGTTTTCCCAAAGGATGGTTTTGCCCAGTCTGTGCAAATAAAACAATATAAACCATGTCCTCTGTCCTTAGAGGTCAACAGGTCAATAAAACCAATGAAAATGGGATTCCTGTCTTTAAAAAGTCATTCAAGTTCTATAAGCTTTACTTCAAAGGTTCATTCACTTTGAATTGTTACATCACTACTCCACAGTGTAAGAGCATACAGGTGCTGCCTTTAAAAACTTACCTGTTATTACAAACTGACCTCATCCCACTTTCTGCTGCTGTGGCAGTTTTTTTGCCGCACAACAACGTGCTGATGGCAGGGAAACATTTCTGGCTCCAAAACTCAACTGTTATTGTACAGTGTATTACACACCAAGTCCCTGAAGGATCTGCCAATGGAAACACATTTTTGTTTTTAATTAAACTTTTGTCCAGAGCAGTGCAGGGAGGAAAAGTTAAACCCAAGGCCTTGAATTTAATGCCGCTCTTCATTGCAAACAAAAAGGTACATTTCTATGGGGTTTAGAGTCATTAAGATGTAAAACAAAACTTTTTTTCGTCTTTGTATTCTGAATAGCTAAGGCTGTCAGAAAGTTCTATGTTTTCACAAACACATGTTGAGATGGAGTTGACACTCAAGGTGTTTTGTGAAACAAAAAGTTTACCCACAGTATGTGCAAATAACATATTGACAGTAAGTGGATAGACTGTGGAATAACATGCATGTCCTTCTGCCCACAAGTTAGCTGCCTGTAAGACTAGCATGACCAATGACCTACTGTATTGAGGCAGCAGAAATAATACCTAAAAACCTCAAGTTAATTAAATTTACAGCTTCCAATGTCATCAAGGACAAAGTCGTGGAGACAGCATGCAGAGAGCATCTGTTCTGAGCGGCCAAGTGAAAACATATGGCAGTTTTTGGGTCTGCCAGATGTTAGTTTGACGGATGTGCAGTTAAAAACCTTACTCATACGTTCGAGGCTCGAAGACATGTCAGAGTGCAACACCTTTTTTATCTTCCTCCTTCAACAGGTGAGCTACAATTATAGATTCAGTCATATTTAAATTATTTTTATTAATATTTTTCTCCTATCTGGGCTAGTGGATCCCCACACATTAGTTTTTAGCTTCAGGTTTAATTCCACTTTTTGTACAACTTCCGATCCCAATGGGGTTGGTTGTGTCAAAAAAGAGCTAAATTACTATCAAAAAATTCCAAAAAACTCAAATAAATGTATTCTTCTACATCATTACCCTGTGTCCAACTCTCCCTGGTCCAGAACTTTAATCAGACTCTGCATATGTTCTTGTAAATTACTTTAAACCGACCTTGAAGTAATGCAGAAAATTCATCATGACAGATAAAAGTTTTCACCCGACATTTAATCAACTGCAATGAGAGGGAAAATGTTAAACTTTCTTGGTAAAAAAAATGTGATTCTGGTTCATATAAAGTTTCTGTATTTGCTGAAACAAACTTTATTTAGACGGTTGACAAGCAGATGATGAAAAACCCTCTCAAAACCACGCTGAAGGACACAGCCAGAGTGAGTCACAGTCTGATTTGCATAGCTCTGACAACATACAAACTGTGCACATCATTATCATATAGTGGGGGAGGTGACAGAGATGGACGAGATTGGTTCTCCACTCATCCCTCCGGCGGCCTGCGGAGGACACAGTGTGGATCTTTGATTAAAGCCCTGTGGGGCTGAAGGTGGAGAGATTCCCTTCTGTGAAGATTAAGTGGTAAAAGAGGAAAGATTACAGGTTACATATCAGCTCTGTGAAGATGATCTGCACTCTGTCTCTGTCACACACACACGTACACACTCACATACACACACATGAGGAAAAAAGGTGTTGTGAAGAAAAGCATTAGTGGGTGTCACTCACACGGAAACTAAAGGACATTCAAAGTATTATATTAAAATACAGTTTAGTTTTGGCCTTTAAAATGATTTTTAACAAAGAATAAAATAGTTTAAAAAAAATCACTGCATACAGCACGCGTGTCAAACTCGAGGCCCGGGGGCCAAATGCGGCCCAACAAGTCAGTTTGTATGGCCCACGGGAGTTTAAAAAGCACACAGCAATGAACAATATTTGTTCAACTCAAATAAATAATAATCAGGTTAAAGTCCTAACGAATATTCGCTGTATTTAACATGAAAAAGTGAAAAAAACAAAACAAAAACACAGTCAATGTGTTTGGTTACACCAAAAAGTCATGCTAGCTAGCATATTAACCTCAGAAAAGTAAAACAAAAAAATGTAATAATTTACATTTTGTCTAAATCTGATGTTATTCAGGTGTTTGGTTCATTGTTATAGGGTAAGAGATATTCAACCATGACTTTGAAATTCACCACTAGATAATACTCAAAGGCTGTCACTGTACTTTTTTTAGTTACCTCATTCAATATACTTGGGAATTAATGATGAATTTGTTTACTGTTTGTATTTTAGGGTTTATAGATTAAATGTTGTTAACAGAAGCATAAATATCCATAATAACCCATAAAGGTTTATATCAGTAAATGAAGCTATAAGTGATGGAAAGTGATGTAGTTACTGAAGATATAATATTTTATTATACAGTGTATGATACGTGCAGTGATAGTATATGATGTGAGGCAGTGTATCATATGCTGTAGTACCTTATAAGATATCCAAATGTGGCATTAATCACAGTCGTCAATGTTGTTGGCGTTACTGTTTTCGTTATCTAAAAATTGAAAATTAAATTATACTTGTTAGATCCTCTCTCTCTACCTCTCTCTCTCTACCTCTACCTCTTTATAAAATATCATTTTAATGATGCAGGAAGACGACTTGGATCCAAATGTATCATGTAGTGTAGAATCAGACAGTAATGTTCATTTGACAACAGTCATTTGTCAGGATGATTTAATTAAAGACTGCCTAATGACTTTAGTTTCTACTCTAACTTTCCAGCTCAGAAAGTCCTGCATCATTTGTCGTGTCCATCATGTCGCAGCAGATTTACTGCCTAAATACTGTAGTGGATTAGCTCCATCTGAGTGCAGTTTGTATTAGTGTGGTTTTTTAAAGTAACGTTTTAGCCACTAGTGAAGGTTTTCTAGGACGCAAATGTTTGCTATTATAGCTCGAAATTGAGCTTATATGACCAAAGTTTCAAAACTTATCGAGTTTCTGCAAAACCAACTTGCTGCTGTGTAAATCTCCTGCCTGTTTTCTCCACATATTAATTTACCACGTTTATTTTTTCTTCTTGCAGGCCCCGCAGCTGGGCACTCTGATGGGCGTCTACCTGCCGTGCATCCAGAACATCTTTGGCGTGATTCTGTTCCTCAGAATGACCTGGTTGGTGGGAATCGGCGGCGTCATTGGCACCTTCATCATCGTCTTCATGTGCTGCACCACAGTAAGTTTCCTTTCAGCAAGTCTGCTGAGCAACGTTACGAAGATCGTTTTTACAAAACCCAGAAGTTAAGACTCTAGAATATGATGTCGTGTTGTCTAAGTCAACGGTCTCCAACCCCTGGTCCGGGGACCGGTGCTGGTCCGTAGGTCATTTGACACCTGGCCACAGTTGGACAAAACAACAGGTTATTCAGACTCTGATACTAACAGAAGAAAGGCTAAAAGATGTTTTACTTGAAAAATTGAATGATCCTTCAATGATGGCGCAGTATCACCAGTCCACAGTACAGTATCTTCCACTTTATTGACGATTGAGCCAATGCTAGAAAAATAATCTAGCTATTTAATAGGCAGGTGGAAATGTACTTTGAAATTTGTATTGATTTACGTATTGGCATAATTGTTTCGTGATCATTTTCTAACAGTAAACATTAATCCCACAGTCACAATCACAATCAACTCGTGAGATCACAACCCTAACTGTCAGTCAGAGCAGTGCCAATGATTTCATTGCTGTGTTAAATGAGGATGCGATGCGTTTGCTGTCATCACCTCCAAAGTTGCATTAGCGACGGAAAAGAAAGATGCTGCAGTGCTGCTGGGATCAGGGCTCAGCGGTGTGATAAAAGATCACAGTGACTGATGAAAGGCTTAGCAGGCAGTGATTAAAATCACCAAAGTGTCTTTTTTTAAGCATTATTTGAATTTGACTTTCATGCCCACTGATTTGTCAGATATCCAGTGATTAGATCACAGGATGAGTCAAACTCCACAACACATATTTGCTTACTCCAATGTCTGCACAATTAAAAATGTAAATTATGAAATCGCTTACACAAAATTGCGATAATTTCTCTTTCATTTGAAATGGCAGCCTCGTAATGACTGTATCATTTCAGCGCCACAGTCATTATTTCCGAGGCCCTGTTTCTAGCTTTGTTACCTAAATGGGTTTCATGTGACCCAATGATTCTTTCTTGAAACTCATCATTATGGTAATGGACATTTTCTAACTGGAACATTATGCACCTGTCAAATATGATACTAGGAAATCTTGAATAATAGCCTTGGTAACTTTATCAGAGTTCTGGGACTGTCTGATGGTTTCTCCAAAGATATCTTTGGGCTTTTGTCTCTTAACATTGTATAGGCTAATGTGTGTCAGTTTAGATTTTTAATAGCTGTGTTGTTTTTTCTTTGCATAAGTGCTGCGTTTCAAGGAGCTATTTGGCCCGAGATTCAGAAGAAGAAATTCTGATTTAGCAAAAATAGATATTAAAGCATTTAATTTGACTTCATCACTTATGAGTATTCTAGTTCCTCCAAAATTAAGTGTTTGGACAATATCGGCATATCGGATATCGGCAAAAAGTTAATATCGGACATCCCTACTCTGAAGTCATTTTAGATAACGTATCTGTGACAGAGACTTCTGACGCTTCTGTTGAACGATACAGAGACTTCTGACGCTTCTGTTGAACCACCAAACTTACCAAAGAGGCTAAAAACTGCATCTCTAAAGCTGCCTTTAATATGTCGACGAAGTAGCTAAGAGCCATTCTTTCAACCGTGTCCTTCATGTAGCTCTTGCGCATAACATCAGTGAAGAGAAGTGAAAGGTGTAGGACAGTGATGTTGTCTTGTTCCCATTAATGTCTGCCGTGCTCGAGCTGCAGTCATGTGTCAGGATGACTTTGCTGTCAGACTGACACCACACCATGGCTGTGAGCTCTTGAAAGCGACAGACTACTGTCCCGCAGGAGCGTCACGGCCGCTGTCACTGATCTGAGCCGCCGCTGAAGATTGATTGTGTTTGACCATTTGATGCGCCTGATTGTCAGGGAACATACTGTGCAGCGTGTCTCTTCACTTGAGCAACATCATCTGTTTGGTTGAACAGAAGTGGAAGATGAAGTGCATTTCGCCTGCAGAAGGTCTCGGCCCCGTTTTTTGGGCTAAAAACATTAATATTTTGATCTGGAATGTGCCCTGCTATTATCAAAATTGAATTCCCACGGTGTGGTCCAGCAGCTGCTGCGCTCGTGCAGCTTTTCTCTGGTTAGTCTGGAGTGTTCCCGCAGGTGTGTTAGTCTTATTGAGTGTTTGTGTAGCCTAGATTCTCCTCTCACGAGAAGTGTATTTATAGCAATAACCTCGTCAAATCAGGGCAAAAGACATATAGAGAACAATGGGCAAAATCAATATGTTCCTGGACGTGTTGCTAGGCTCGGCTGCAGCTGTAGAAAAATCTGTGCGTGGTCATCTGTATTTTTAAAAAAACCTTTAGTTTTACTAGCAAAACTTTGCATCAGATAAAGAGAAAAATCCCTTGAAATCAAACATGACAATGTATACACACCAGACATAAGCTGAGCTCTGCTAAGCTACGTTAAACTAAGCCATGCTTTACCGAGCTCTGCTAAGCTAAAATAAGTTAAACTAAACTTGATATCATTTAACACTGAATCTGAAGTTATTGCTTTGGCACTTATCCAAATAACAAATCCTTCACGTTGTTCCTACACACTCGAGTCTACGTAAGAAGAAGAAGCACTACGTATTTTTCCTCGTACAAAAACACAACAAACTGTGTGCCGTGCATTTACAGCCTCTATAAAAACAGGAGCAGTGAGAGGTAAATCAGAATCACGATCCTTCAACGTTAAACCACGTCCCGGCCGGGAAAAAAGAATATCGAATTTTAGTTTGAAGCTAATTAAATCACAGTTTTGATGCGTAATTGAATAAAAAAAAAGAATCAATGCTGCCTGCTGGACAAATGCTAAATGATCAAACGTAGATTTGATCAGTTACATTTTTTCATGATTTTTTTTCTACTTTATCATATCTATAATGTATTTATGTTTTTGTACAATATTATTAACAATTACCATTTACCATCTTATCTATCCCCTCTCTCTTTCTATTGATCTCTCCTTGTCTGTCTCTCTCTCTCTCTCTCGCTCCTCTTCCCTCTCTTGCCTACTTATCAAACTGAGGCTCGCTTCACGGCCCGGGGGCGATAAGGGGGTGTGAGAAACCCCCCACTTCCTTTCCTCCTTAACCCCTTACATAACACATAACCACCTGGGCCTTTGGGGGTTGCCAGCATAACACAGCACAGGAGTGTGTGTGTATTTTCATGTGTGTGTGTGTGTGTGTGTGTGTACGTACAGTACATGTACGCCTGCAGAGAGAGAGAGAGAGATCCCCACCTCAGCGCGATCCACTTGACGAGCGGAGGATTCATGGCGGCTGTAAAGCTCAATAAGTGAGCTGATGTTTTATTCAGGAGATGACATCTCCCTGACAGAACACACACACACACACACACGTGTATCTGTCCAACACGAGGACGCTTATTTCCCCTTCACTGTGTTGGCAGAATGTTAACAAACCGTTCCGTGACTCATGACTACATGAAGGTTTTGCCTTCACGTGGAACGCTGCGACACATTATGGGAGCATTAGGAAAACACACACACGGGCAGACATTTTTAGAATCAGCACATTACGCAGACGCTGCTCTCAGAGACTGTTAGATTCAGACGTACGCTTTTCACGAGGCTTTTTTTTTTTTCCACCTGGATAATGAACGTGGATAAAAATTGGTTTAATACTCCTGATGGAAAGTCATCTGTCGCTCATCCTCCCTCGTTATTTCCAGGTCTGGAATCCGAAAGCAACAAACACAGCAGCTCTGCTCTTAAAAAAGGACTCATTTAAATTCGGCGAGGCTTTTCATCATCCGTCTTTTTACCCTCGCCTTTTGTACTTGCTAAGATTCTTCAAACACTTTTTATTTAAATGTGCTACTTTCTCTCCACACTCCGTCTTTTTAAAGGGGCCACATTATTCAAAATTGACTTTGTCAGAGTTTTGGGACACATATTTGCGTCCCGGAAGTGTCTGCCTACTCTTTAAGTGCAAGTTCTGACGGCTAAGTAGATTTTTAATCATCGGAAAAAATCTGGGAACGTGTCTCAAAAGACGCCGGCCTCGTTTTATTATTCTACTTTGTGACAACATCAATCCAGTAGTTGTGGGTTACCTTCTGTAGCAACATGGGTGAGACAGCCAGTGAGGCCATTCAACTCTGGTTAGCCTACATATGAACATCAAAGTACTAATAGTAATAGTTTGAACTTCATTGATCCCATAATTGAGAACAGACTTGCACCCTTGCAGGTGCCAAGTATGTGGTTCCTGTGGGAATTGAACCCAGGACTACCTGTGCTCTGCTTCTGAGGCAGGCATGCTAAGCGCTACAGTATGGAACCACCACTTAAGTATGTTTAACATGTACAGTTTGATGGCGGTTTGTTGTCCAGCAGCCATTTTTCTCCACTCAACCAATAACAGCTTAATTAAATGACACTGTTATATGAAGCCTTCCTCCATGCGGAAACTGTGGGCAGAGCATGACGTGCCCCTTCCTCCATGCGGAAACTGTGGGCGGAGCATGACGTGGTGAAGGCACAGACATGGGCTGTTGAACAGAAGTGTAAAGAGTCCATCTGTGATCAATCCCTCGGTCTTTTTGACCAAAGCATATTTTCTTTCCTTTTCCCCTTCTTTTTCACATACACGGCTCTTTGTTTTAGTCTCGCCCACCCTTTATCCCCGTGTTGGTTTTAACATCCACCTCTGTCTCCGTGGTCTGACAGTTTTTCCTTCCCTTTTGCACTCTCCTCTGAGTGACAAACATGCGCCGTGCGCTGAGAAAACCCATTTCACGTTCATGTAGTGAAGCAGACTAATGAAGCACCCTCTCAGGGCTGCCGTTCCTGTCAAAATAAATTTCAGTTCCACACGGAGGTCAAATTAGGGCCACTTCTGAGTTTGTGTGTAGCCGTGGGAAGAAACAGTCAGACACAGGTGTCCTCTGCACTCACTGTCGGTGGTATAATTATCTTGCAGACTTTCACTTAAACTTATGAGAGACAACTTTTTAGTGTCCCCCGTTTCCTGTTCAGTCACGGTCATTAGGAGGCAGCTGCAGCGAGATGCCAGTAAAGGACACAGGTGTTTTGTCTCAGAGTTGGTGCTTTGTCATAATAAGCACCTCCGCACACGAACCGCATGTCACAATGTCACGTCAACGGGGCCAGAATAAAGGGAAGAGCCGCAGTGAAAAATGAAAATACCATTGGTTTGACCTTTTTCTTTTTTAAACCAACGTTGTTTTTAAAGGTTTGCGACATATTTTTCCACCCAAACTGTCATCTGTGTGAGCTTTAAAATCGCAAAAATAAACACCCGGTGAAAATGATTAAAACTTAGCAACGACCAAAGTTTGACAAGCATCACAACCACCCGTTTTGCAGGCTATATGTCGTCTGCTGTTGAGGCTCATATGGAGGAGACAGATGGCAGGCGGTGTAATCTGAGGTTGTCTGCTGGCATGCTCTAAGGCCAAACAGCATGTAGGACACACAAGATCCAACAGTAGTACAGACTCCAGACTTCGCAGAGAAAGCCGTAGCATAAGCAAATCTCAGTGTGGCGTCGCACTCTATCACACACAGTTACCTCCACTGCCTGAAAATGGGACATTGAAACAGGCCAACGGCTCTGGGTCAGTGGGAAAACATCACCACGGCGCTCATGGCACAGGATAACGCTGCTGCCTCTAGTGTTCAGCTGCACCAACAACAGAACATTAAGTGAAATGACCTTTTTTGTAATCAGTGGATGAAGGATATAAAAACCCAAATTATTTTTGTTTTTTGTAAATTAGGACCTAGCATGTGTGCATTTCAGTTTTATTTTTGATAGACTGCAGCTGCCTCTGTGCCCTACAGGGGATGCACTTAGCACGATTTCAATGGAAAGGTAAGCTAGTACTTTCCTATCTTAAAGTATTTATTAAAAATAAATAAATAATCAAAATCAGAAAGATGGCATAGAAAATGATAAAATCATTTTAGCATTTTAGCCTTTATGCAGGGTTAAAAAGTTTGCCCACGCCTGATGTAAGCCATGCAGAAAAATAATGAAAAAACATATAATAAAATATATATATATAATAAAAATAAATTCCTGTAGAGATAGTTGTGTGCAGTTTCAGAGTTTGTTTTTCATGAAATTCCCAGATTTTAGCTTTAGGCTAAAATCTGCTAATCTGCTATAACTGCCTCTACATCGGTAATGCAGTATGGAGCCTTAGGTAAAAGTCATGTAAATGATGGCTACGAATAACATTTGACTGTGCTAACAACGGTCCACGTATTGCATGTGTGCCCCGTTGTGAGGGGATGTAGTTGTTCAGTATGCTGCTGACTACCTCTGAATGGCTGCTGCCCACATCAGATAAAACACTTAAACAATTACTGTCTTATCAGCTGTGCTGGGAGTGAGCCTGTGGCTTCATTAGAACCAGATTAGACAGAGGAGCCCAGACCAGTCCTGTTCATTGCGGACTCCACATCATCAGTCCGCTGAAGCCTAAGGTGACACCGTCCACGGCAGAATCTTCTCAGTGATAGGTGATGTAATAATAGCTGAACATTGGCTTCCTGGTGTTGTAGAAATGACCAGACCTTCAGTCAGAAATGGACGCAAAACTTACATGAGTTAAACCAACGTCAAAAACCAAAACCAGGACAGGGACATTTCCTTGCAGTGCCACAAATCAACAGGGATACAACTAGATAAAACAAAGATTGTACAAAATAGGACAGAAAACTATTATGAGAATTCTTTTTATTTTTTTACTATTTAGACATTTAAACAAAAGCCTTTATTGTTGTTACTGATTAATTATTTTAGCCTTTATTGTTGTTACTGATTAATTATATTATTATATTATTATGGATGGATGGATGGATGGATGGATAGATAGATAGATATGTGTATATCTGTATGTTTGTATGCATGTATAAACACAATTGGATCAAAAATTGGTAATAAAAAATAAATAAATACATTTCTTTGTTACTTTGAGTCACTTTTTCTTTTAAATGCAGACTCTCATAAATTGGACTCCTGCTTTTGAAAGAATGATGAAACCGGAATGAAATTCCCTCATCCTCACACTGCTGACACACACACACACGTATAACACACACACACAATCCATCTTTCTTCTCTCTTTGAAATAGGTGTTTTAAATTTGTACTGATTTGTACTCGGTGTCTTCAGCGTTGGAATTCATTTCTTTTTACATCTAGCCTCTGAGACTAAGACGTTCTGATGTCATACTTCTACATCCGGGGACTGTTTCTCTTTACAAGTGCAGAAGGAAATCTGAATGTGTGGTTGGTGTAAAGTTCATTAGTAACGTCTGGGCTGTTTGAGGGTTAGGTAAGGTCTTATTTTGAGGCAACATGATCTGTAAAGGTCGACTGGTCATCTGTCATGACACCTACGTTTTTTGCTACCTTGGAAGGAGCCAGAGATGAGTCAATTTTGATGGAATGGAAAGATGGAGAGAAAAGTGTGTTTGGTTTAACAGGTCTGAGCCTGAGATGTTGTTTTCACACCTTCTGTCTTCAAGACTTGTGTTTTTAACACGAGAACACACCAGTTGCACTCAGACCACCTTAAGGCCAAACAAACCTAGGAGGACTAGGATTCATCGAGGCGTGTTGGACCTACAGTACCAACACAATAAGAACTCTGACTGCAGCAGTCTCTCCTTGAACCATGAACAAAAATCTAGGTCTGGTTTTGGAAAGATAAATATAAATCATCTCTAGTCGTGTTTACTGGTATATGTGAAAGTGCAAAAATTATTTGTGGTCAAAATGTTCTCATCTGTATTTGTGGTTGTGCTCACAGACGACCAGCAGTGGTGAGTGGTCCACGAGGTGAATACTCTGTGGTGCAATTACTGTCAGAGTTACTCTAGTAACAGAATTTCTTCAATACTAAATGCCAAATGATCTTTTATAGCTGTTGTCTAGTGGAATATTGCTGCCTCTCTTCCTCTGCTGGTATAAAATACCAGAATAACAATGACATATAATATCTAGACATGAAATCCAATGGATTGTATCATTGAATGAATACAAACAGAAACAATTAGACCATTTTAAATAAATGACAAACAGCAACAATGTCAGATTTTTTTTTTCCTCATTTGAGCAGAGTCTGAATTAGTGAAGTAGGGTTGTGGATATGGGCGCTGCAGATGGTAAACCAGGTCAGCCCATCTGTGTCTGTGGGTATGGATCAAGAGGAGCAGATGTAGCAGGGCATCTATTAAACAAAGGTTCAATCCCTGACACCTATGACACATTTATGTAAAGGTTTAATTTCCACAAAACCTTTTAGCTAACCCTGGCAGCTGCGCTGGCACTGACTACTATGAAAATGATGACATTTTTCACTGTATACAAATGTACAAAACGGTAAAATAAAATCCCCCTGCTGTCTTTCTGTTCCAGTAATATACATTAAATTGGTTTGATTGTAATTAATTCACAGTTACCCTGTGATTAATCTAATTAAAAAACATTTTTTAATTGACAGCACTAATAAAAATACGTATAAATTAAAAATGTAAAATATATAATACATAATACTTTCAAACTTCAAGCTAAAGTAAGAGCTAAATAAAAGACATAAAGTAAAATATATACAAAATAACTGGTACAAAATGTTACCATAAAAGCTTAAGTAAGCTAAAGTTATTATTACTTTATCAAAACAGTAAAAATGTAATTTCATAATAGTCTGAAAAATGAGATCCAGATTACCAAAATAAAAGCATAGAAGATAAAAAATATAAATAAATGAATTGGAAATTCCAACTTCATTTCCAACGCTTGTTTTATTCATTGTCAGAATGACAATGAATGACTGTGTTCACACCTGGACATTGACTGTGATATGTTCTCAGAGTTGGAATTCAAGTGTGACTGGATTAAAAAAACTGCATTGACTGAAACACCCAGAATATTATCTGATGTTTTTTCTCCTCTCCTTCTCTCTTTTTTTTCAGACCATGCTGACTGCCATTTCAATGAGTGCCATTGCCACCAATGGAGTAGTGCCAGGTGGGTGAGCAGACACTGAGCCGTCACTGTTTGAGGCCGTCTTTGACCGTCTCGGAATTTTCTCCTTTCACTGAGTGCTTTTGGCACGCTGCTCTCAGCACAGCTTAGTCTAAGTCTGGGTTCCTTCACGGCTTCGGCTTGTTGTCTGACAACACTGTTTAAATGCAGCCCTGGCCACGGGCCTCAGATGTGAACATTAATACATTTACAGTAGATTTGACGGAAGTGTAAACAACTGATGTGAGTTTGCTAACTACACCATGTGTCTTGTACTTTCTCTAGTCACGGCACTGCAACTTTACATTAGTAGAAGTAGAATATAATGGAGACCAAAAAGAAAAAGAAAAAAAAGTAGACAAAGAAAAAGAGATTTTTGAGATTGTAAAATACTTTATTGACAGTTGATGTCAAACTATAAAACACACAGTTACAGTACGTCAGAATGCAGTGCTCCTCATGAGCCTGCTGCTGTTCAGTGTTAATGATCCAGTGGAAACAAAACTTCAGCCTCAGTCTGGCTGTCACACTCTGCCACCACAGGATTACATAAGATTTTTTGAGCTTTAAAATACACACACCAAGTTACATTATAAGGAAAGAAAAGTAATAAGTCAGTGTAGGAACTGTGCAAACTAGGAAAGGATAAAAAAAAGGAAAACAAGAAATAATATGGGGTAAATATAATAGAATAAATAAAATGATGTGAAACATGAAAAAATGAAGCAGATGAAAAGAACAGGAGAAAGAAAAAAAGGAAAATGAAGGAAGAAGAACATGGAAGATTTTTTTTTTTCTTTCTTTTATGAACAGTATTGATCCCACGCTGCAGAACTTCTTCTGTTAACAGCAGATGTGCTGCTAAAGGCACCACAACAGGAAGAAAAATCCTAATAACGCCAGTCTGCCAGTTTGGACAAAAAATATTCTTCCAAAGACAATCATTTTTATATTACTTTTTCAAGTATTTTGACAAATGTGAAGATATATTAGCCCCAGTACTGTACCCTGAGGTCTGCTGGACACAGTACTGGAGCTACAGCTCATTTAGACACTCTTTACACTCATACAGTGCAAATGTCAATACAAACTATGACTTTACTTTGTCTTCAAATTGAATCCACGAAACACCAACAAACATGAACCTGAGTACAGACTGATCAACCTAAACAATGTTAGTACCATGTAAATCATCCCTATATTTACAGACAAGCGCCTCACATTAATCTGCCGTCCTGTGTATTTCAGCTGGAGGCTCCTACTACATGATATCCCGTTCACTGGGCCCAGAGTTTGGAGGAGCGGTGGGAATCTGTTTCTACCTGGGGACCACCTACGCTGGAGCCATGTACATCCTGGGGGCCATCGAGCTCCTCCTGGTGAGGAACACTCTCTCTTCTCCTTTTGTTTCTATCTGACATCGTCTTCAACTGAGGGTCTAATCCAGGAGTGTCAAACTCATTTTCACCAGAGGGGGCACACAGGCAGTACAGTTCCCCTTGAAGGGCCGATTGTAATTTTATAGCTATAACTACTACATAACGTATTAATACATGTTTCTGCAGTTGATTATAATTTATTAAAGTTTCAAATATTGTACATTGTGTAATAATAATCAAGTTAAGAAACTGCAGCATGGACTTTATCATAAAGCAATTAAACACTTGATAAGTTCCCACGGGCCACAAAAAAAGTACTAGGTTTACAAGAGTAAAATATTAAATAGCCTATATGAGAATAACAAGTCAACATTTCCCAAAATGGGACCATTGAACTTCTAATAATTATATAGGAGAATTTTTCATAATTTTCTCTCACAATAACAAGAAAAAAGTCTTAGGTTAATGAGAGTAAAGACAAAAATGTATAATAATAGGGTCAGAATAATATGAGAAAATATTCTGACAATATTCCTCCAAACCTAGGACTTTTTCTGCAAAAGTCCCAAACGATAAAACAATAAAAAATGCCTTAAGTTTATGTTGTAACATTAGGTGAACAAAGTTGTCAAGATAAAAGAATAAAAAGTCTGGCCTTAATGTAAATAAAGCCAAATATTTATTAAAATAAAGTCATAAAGTTTCAAATATTGTACATTGTGTAATAATAAATAAGTTAAGTCTGAAATAAGTCATTAGTTTATGGGAATAAACAGCCGTAGGGTTGAAATACTTCCCACATGTTTATGGGAATAAACAGCCGTAGGGTTAGGAAAATAAAGTTGAAATCTTTTGTGGGAAAAGTCGTGGTTGCTTTTTTGGCAATATGTTTTTTCACACTTGTGGGAAAAGTCGTGGTTGCTTTTTTTTCACACCTCATCTTTTCGATGTCCAATCAGTTGCTGATGAAGCAGAAGACCAGGGTTAACCTCAGTGAAAACACAAAAACAAATGTGGCCACACAAATCAGTATAACTGAAGTGAATTTCCATGTCACACGTTTGATTTCTTAGGCTTTCTAAGACAGAGCACAGCCCAGTCAATGGTCCATGTGATGAACATGCAGTTAGACCTCCATTTTCCTGCCTTCTCAAAATGACATCCATTTCCTGATCATTCATCCTGGGCTACACCAGGCCAGACTGAGCTGAGGTGAAAATGATGAGACAGTGCTCCCAGGTTGGTGGACGCTGACTGCCGCTCCAACACGGCTTTTTCTTCTCGCCAATGGAGCCGCGAACGTCACAATTTTACAATTTAGTCACCGTGATAACAACGTTCCACAGGCTGCCCTCAAAGGAAAGTACGTGTCACTGCACATCATTTGCTGAATTACCACCAGAGAATATTGGGCTTGACATTAAATTATTTTTTTGGTTCAGTACTCCATTATTCTGCTCTAAAGAACCAATGTCGGTTTTGGAAATGGTTCAGTGAAGAGGGGGCAGAGAGCCAAGTTTATTTTTTTTCTCCTCCTTCAGTTTCAGGAGTCAACAGAGACTTTTTAGGATGTTTCTCTAAGTGTATGAGTTTTATCATTTGGTCACAGGATGTTGTTTTACTTTCAGCTTGAAGTAAGTACAGATTTATATGTTCCTCTGTTCTCAGGGAGGAAAAATACACACTACAAAACAGCTGGCACCAAAGTGCTGGGGAAACAAAATAATATTGAATTAGTGAAAGTGACAGCGCCCCCTGTGCTCCACATAAAAAAAGAATAACAACCTGATGGTGTAGAAATGAGATTTTCTCCTGCGTTATTTCCTTTTCCTCTTCACTCTGCTTTGATGTTATTTTTCTCAGCCAGCGTCTCCTTCACTGCAGCATCTCACGACTTGATGAAATGCAGAATATCTTTCATCTCCTTCTCTTTTTTTTTCTTCCTCTGCACCTCCTCTGCTTTCCGTGATACACTTCTTACACCGCAGTCCTTCCTGCACGGAGTTCTGGGTAATTATGCAAATTCTATATGAGCTGCAGATGAAGACACGGGCGCAGTAACGAGACCATTTCTGAAACAGCTCTTGTCACTCTCTCGGACCCCCGGTTGTGTATTTATAGTTATTTTAGTTATTCTGCTCCTGAATGCCTCTGATGGAAGTGCGGAGTTTGATCATGCCTGTGGGTTAATTCTGTCTTCTGGGTCAAAGCTGGCTTAGTTTCCTTTGTGAAACAACAATCCCAGCAGAATTGTGAGGAGCGGATCTGAGGGGGGCTGATTTGAATATGTTTCATCCTTCTGCCCCAGCTATGAACACAAACCCAGGCTGCTATTTTGGGAAACACCCAGAGTTCACAGTGAAGCAGGAGATTTGTTTGCCTGGTGATACACTCTTCTGAGCATCGTCGTCTCCTTCCGTCAAACGTCCTGACTGCACCTCCGTTCCTTTTCACTGTTTGTTGTCATAAATAGTTTCAGGGCAAACCAGAAAAATTTCTGTTGTTTTTTTTTTTTTTTCATTATTTAATTCCTTATTTTGTGGAGCAGCATTATCATCCAGAGCTGATGACAGGATAACAAGTAGATCTCTTTTGGAAGTAATGTTTTTAGACCCTCTGTAGTGACAGTGTAATAATGGCACTTCGTTTTGAATCATTAATCCACGCCTGAGTTGTTTAATTAAGGCGAATTAAAAATAGCAGCCACTTTTAATGCCGGCTCTGCTCTAAGCTTCAGCAGAGGATTGTTAATGTGAGCATCACGTGTTTCACACTCCATGGAGTCGCCGTCCTCCTGCAACTCATTCCTTTCTGCCTTTGTCGCTTCACATTTATTGCGTCTCTTGGTTTTTTTTTTTCTTTTTTACCCTGGTAAATTTTAATAGCATTAGCTGTAGGAGCAGGCTGACCTGAAGTGACCTGCCTGTTTTATATTCTCATGCAGTGGGTGGAGGGGGGGAGTGCACAACCACAGCTAGAGTGAATGTCCTTGAGCTGCAAGGAGAAAATGGCACCACATATTATCTGGAAAGTATAACAAAATCTATATGTATTTACATTAGATATGTCCGATAATATCGCCCCAATATTAGAGTAATTATGTAATATTTGTAGGAATCGTTATTGTTTTTTTCTCCAATAATGAATACCCGATAACGCAAGCCCTTGGTTTTGCCCAATGATGTGTGCTCTAAAAATAGTTTTGGAGAAAAACGGCTGTACTGTATATGAAAGTGAAAGTCACTAGATGGCAGCATTGCAGCTTAATCTATGAATCTATTTTAATAATCAGGGGATTGTATGCAGAGTGGTTCCAACAACTTAATAGAGTAGTTCATACGGATAAGCAAAAAAACAAAAAAACATTGCAGAAGGCACTTCAATTCCGTAACTACCAGGCCAACATTGTTTGCTACCACTTTCTATATCGGTAGCCGTTGATATCAGAATCGGAAATTAAGTGGACAATACAGTATTGCCTCTCTTTATCGCGATTCTCCTTTCGCTCCCTCAGTACATCGCAGAATGTTTTTATTCCAATCTCGCTATATCACGGTATTTTACGATATTTTTTTTAAATTTCCAATATTTTCATTATTTTCTTCCTGCTNCCTGCTGAGCGCTAACCTCCGCCCCGCCCCCAAAATGTGTATTTAAGTTATTTACGTAATATGTATGTCTTATATTTCCTTTATACAACTCTACTGTGCATATAATTAAAAAAAAAAGGGTAATGCATTCTATGGAGGGTTGATAACAGTGTGGGGGAGGTTCGTTAAGGGTAAATATATACGTAAATAATATAATAACGATCTCGCCTCTACTTCGCGGATGTTCCCTTTTCGCTGTGGGTATTGGAACGCAACTACCAAGATAGGAGAGGGATCACTTTTTTTTTTTCTTTTTTTTCAGATCTACATAGCTCCCAAAGCGGCCATCTTTCCCCTGGAGGGACTGGAAGGCGCAGAAGCGGAAGCTGCCCTCCTGAACAACATGCGTGTTTACGGGACCATCCTGTTGACGTCCATGGCCACCGTGGTGTTCGTTGGTGTGAAGTACGTCAACAAGTTGGCGCTGGTGTTTCTGGCCTGTGTGATTCTGTCCATCCTGGCAGTCTACGCCGGGGTCATCAAGACCGGCATCGATCCTCCAGAATTCCCGTAAGCACCGATGTGAAATACTTTTTTTTCAAATTAATTTCTACAAAAAGAGAGTGAAATACTTTTTTTTCAAATTAATTTGGTGAGATTTTTTTTCTTCTTCTTTCTTCTCTACAGCAGTTAACTAGATATTATTTGTTTTGTGGATGAAACTAACAGTGTCATCATTTAATTGTTTTGTGGATGAAACTAACAGTGTCGTTAAAAAAGGTTATTTTACATTTTAAATTTTCATGGACAGGTTAAATAACCTGACTAATCTACATTTGGGGAAAATCATTAGTTACAGCTGTGGTCTGTAGCTTTGAATTAAAACTAGCATTAACTGATGTTAGAGGTAAGAGTGCTGTGGCGGACGTTTCTCACCATTCTGTTCTGTCTCTAACAGTGTGTGCATCCTGGGGAATCGTACCTTGGTGTGGAAGTCCTTCGATGTTTGTGCCAAAACCATTGAGACGGCCAATGGGACGGTGACCACCCAGCTGTGGCGTATGTTCTGCGATTCACCGTTCCTCAATGCTACCTGTGACAGGTACTTCTCCGACAACAACGTGACCCAGATCCAGGGAATCCCCGGAGTCACCAGTGGAATCCTAGCAGGTTGGTTCAAGCTGATTGTTGTTATTATTATTGTTGTTGTTGTTGTTGTTTATTACCATATGAAAAGCTGTAATTTAATGGTACCCGATTTAAACAACAAAAAAAAACTTTTACCCTGTTGGAAGAGGTTGATGTTCTTGACCTCTATCTTTTATTACATTTGTATCATTTTAATTACGTTTCTCAGCATGAGTAATTTATTACAATTAGTCTGACATTACTGAGCGTTTGTAAAAAAAAAAAGAAATGTAATTTGTCCAATAGAAAATTGTAATAAATCAACATCCAGCAATGGTTTTTTTAAATACAGATATAAACAAAAAGCAATCACACTAGAGTTCTGAACTCCAATAATCTGTTTTTTTCTCTTGATTTTTTTTGTAACATCGTTTTTCTTTTCTTTTCTTTTTCTTTTTTTTGCAATATTGTTTTTTTTTTCAGCCTTCCGCCACAGAGCATCATCTGCCTTTATCTCAAACTACCAAAACATCTCCATGTCCTCCTTTACTACATCCTCAAGAACCCCTGAGATCCTCCTCTTTACCACTTGTCTGACAGCTCCGTGACGTCTACTCAGCTCCAGTCTCCAAACCACGTCAACCTCACCTCTGTAACTGCTCCACCTTATCTGTCCCTCTGACCTCCTCATGTCTGATCCTGTCAGTCCTGGTCTCTCCCACTGAAAATCTCATTTCTGTCAACTCCAGCTGAGACTCCTGTCTTTCAGAAAGAGCCGCTGTCTCTGAACCATACGTCATAGCAGATCTCACTGCTGTTCTTTCCTTTTAATTTTGCTGCCATGTTACAAATCCGTCTTGGGCTGCTGACCCTGGGGACTTGTTTGCTTTCTCCTTCACTACCTCTACTCCTTATAGATTAAGCTTCATACTACAAGGATCTTGATTACATTCTTCTTATTCTTGTTATTTACAGTGAGAAATACCTCCGTTTGGACCTGTGATGTGTTTTGTATTTTTTTGACACTTCTTATTTTCAGCCGCTGCTGCCAGTGCAGTTGCTCAGTGTGGGTATCTGCGTGGAAATGAGACGAAGTGCAACCAAATAAAGGTCATCTTTGCTAAGTGGCGCCACGGAGCCTGACTTCGAAGGCCGCTGCATTTCCCAGGGCTCCATTAAAGCGGAGGAGACCCTGGAGCTTAACCTTGTTTCAATCATGTATTTATCACAGTGAGAACATTGAATCCTCACAGGAGTCACTGTTGTAATTCAGGGTCCGCACCTAATACACGAGTCACTGTTGTAATTCAGGGTCCGCAGCTAATACACTCAACAAAGTGTCAACAAAGAGCGCCCCCTCCCCCTCCCTCAGGTGGTTTAGTGTTGACACTCATCAACACAGGAACACCTCTGAGTGTCAAAGTGGAGATGGGTTTAAACACAGTGAGATAAATTGATTTCCAGTATTGTTTTTTTAAAGGACTTTAACCTGATCATTTCAGCCCTAAATGACTCACCTGCTCTGTTATTTCCCACAATTCCTTTACTCACACAGAGAACCTGTTCGGAAACTACTACGAGAAGGGAGACTTGATTGCCAGAACCAACATGTACTCAGCTGAGGAGCAGGACGATCCTGTGACCAACGCCAACCGCTACGTGTTGGCTGACATCACGAGCTTTTTCACGCTGCTGGTCGGCATCTATTTCCCCTCAGTGACAGGTCGGTTTTCTGTGCTGTACTTAAGGACTGTCTGTGCTCCATGACAGCAAACACCAATGCTTGAGAGATACAGTATCTGTTTTTTGGTTAGTTCATCTTTGACCTTGTTGATAACGTTTGACCCTCCCCAGGAATTATGGCCGGCTCCAACCGTTCTGGAGACCTGCGTGATGCTCAGAAGTCCATCCCCATTGGAACCATTGCAGCCATCACCACCACGTCCTTCGTCTGTATCCTCACCCTGCAGGACAACATGAAAAAATATATGTACAAATATATGTAAAATATGTACAAAATCAATACATTTGAAGGTCAATTGTGCCTTTGAGCCAATAGATCACCAGTTTAGACCTTGATGAATTAGGTAAATTGTTCACCTCCAAATCCAAAGATAACATAAAGGCATAATTCAAAATTTTAACAATTACACAATTAAATAAAGGTAAAATATAAATATTTAATGTAAGTGTTTAATGTAAGAAATAAAAACCAATTTACTGTAAAACCTACTAGGATTTTTTTTTTTTTTTACATCAGTGTATTTGTACTAGTCACAGTACTACTGTTTGTTCATTTTAGGATACATGAACAAACAAATGGGTGAAATTCAGAGATCACTGTTTCAGCTTCAGCTGAAGTAATAATGCTCTCAGGTTGTTTTTCTTTTTTTTTTGTTCTATCATGGAACAAAACACACTGATTAGATCACAGGGAGAAGGATAATAAAAGGGCAACAATTTTAGAGTATGTGAGCTCATACACCACGCTGAGAGGAAGTACCACAATACCAGTATGATTAGGATGGGAGATGAGGAAAAAAACAAATAACAAGAATAATAATACCCTAGGTTTTCTTAGTTAAAGGAATGATTTTTGTTCACTAACAATTCCAAGAGAACTACCATATTTATATTGTAAGGTTTTCTGTTTTTTGCCATTTATGGTAATTGGGGTCTATTTTTGATTTTCTTTTTTTATTTACTTGCTTAAAAACACAAGAAAATATATAACATTAGAAAATACAATGAGTAAAATCAGTAATTCAGTTTATGAATAACATAAACACAAACAGTATTTATTGAATTTCTTTAGGGTGGATGGAAAATACAAACATCCTTGTTATAGTTTGCAGCTTGAACCCACAAATTGATAACATCACTTAAATGTGCTGCAACATTTACAATGTAGAAAACTCGACATCTGAAGCAGCCACTTTAAATGTCTCTGTTTCTCTCCTTAATCTGATTTGGGCTGGACTAAATTTCATTAGGATGTCTAATCTCATCATCGAGCTGCCCGTGCCATCACAAGTTAATAAAGCAAAAGCAGATTAGTTACAATGTCACCGATCTCTCAGATATTATCCTGGACAGAGAAATGATCCCCGTCTTTTCCCAGCAAATGAAGTTAATTTGTTTAAAAAATCATTATGTACGTGTCCAAAGAGGAGGTTGCTCAGTTTTATGATGAACTTCTGTTAATCACCCACTGGTTCCCACCTGAGGCCACTTCACAGATATCATATTTCCACCCACTGAAAAAAACACCTCCCCCTCTCTGCGGGGCGTAGATTTTCCTCATCTTGGCTCTGCAGACATGTCCAGTGTAATTCTGTTCGGTGCTTGCATTGAAGGAGTCGTCCTCAGAGACAAGTATGATTGTTTTTGAAGATAAAATTTCATATAAATTAACCAAACTCCAAATGACTATGTTTCACTCATTTCTACTTTTTTTTGGTAAGGTTTGGAGAAGGGGTGCATGGAAACCTGGTGATTGGCACTTTAGCCTGGCCGTCACCCTGGGTGATTGTGATTGGCTCCTTTTTCTCAACGTGTGGGGCGGGGCTTCAGAGTCTGACTGGAGCGCCACGTCTCCTGCAGGCCATCGCCAAAGACAGCATCGTTCCAGCTCTACGGGTTAGTCAGACAGCCTTTCAGTGTGTGTGTGTGTTTGTGTGCCAATTTTAATATATTTCATCATACACAGAATAGGCCTCATTCATTAAGGCGTGTGCACAAATGTTCTGACTGATCAAAATGTATTAAAAAAACATCCCTCATGTATTCATGATATATTTACTGCCTAATTCTTGGTTCAGTTTTCTCACTGTGCACAAATGACAGAAATACTACAATTAAATTGTTTCTCTGCGTTCACCTGTAACGGTTTCACGCCCTAATGAGCGGGGGCAACCCACCACTTTGGGAAACTTGTCCTGTCCGAAGAAAAATTAATTAAATTTAACCCACTGTGCCCCTGTCCTGGCATGGCTGGGATTGGAACCCACAGCTCTGCAAGTTCAAGTAAAATCCTTTCACTACGAGACCACAGTTTCCAAATGTATTTATTAATTTAGTCATTTTAAGCAAATTACAGCAAACACAAGGTTTTCTCGTTAGACTGTGCTTCATGTTGCTTTGCACTTGTAAGAGAATGGACAGAGAAATAAGTCAGGTCCCCAAATACCAGTGAATCATCACGTTATTACATTATTCTCTTCACTGCCGACTATGGATTTTTGAAAGCGCCCCAGCTGTTGTATAGTTTGCTGTGATACATTTCAAGCAGCAGTGGTGTTTGTGTGTTCTTCTGTGTCGTCCTCCAGATCTTCGGCCACGGAAAGGCCAACGGAGAACCCACATGGTCCCTCCTGCTGACAGCCTGTATCTGTGAAAGCGGCATCCTGATCGCCTCGCTGGACTCGGTGGCTCCAATCCTCTCCATGTGAGACCCGACGCTTGTCTCCTGAATTTACTGCCATCTTAAGAACACAGCATTGGGGATTTTAAGTAGTCCTGGTTATGTGCTAAGTGGTGTAAACGGCCCAGACTACGTGCCTGAATTCCTTTTATAGAAAAGTTGAACACATAAGTGCCAGTAGATGAGACAGATGCTGAGTAAAAGACAATGGAATGAAGTAATATCTCATGTCTCTGTCTCTGTGTCTCCTGCAGGTTCTTCCTGATGTGCTACATGTTTGTGAACCTGGCCTGCGCCCTGCAGACGCTGCTGAGGACTCCGAATTGGAGACCTCGCTTCAAGTTCTACCACTGGTCAGCTGACAGGAGGCCGGGCACTTCTAGATGACTTCTTCTCTCGTTCTTTATCTCACTCCTTCATCTCTCTCTGTCACAGGACCCTGTCCTTCCTGGGGATGAGCTTGTGTCTCACACTCATGTTCATCTGCTCCTGGTACTATGCCATCGTCGCCATGGTGATCGCTGGTTCTATCTACAAGTATATTGAGTTTGCAGGGTGAGTGAAGTGTAACCTCGGGAGAGATTGGATTCCCTGACTGCCTCCCGCCTTTGGCCAGCACATAGTTGTATAATTTATAATAAAAAACAATCAGGTTCCAGTCGGCACCATCCATCATTTTTGTTAGGGAGGAGGAAGTGGGGGGGGGGATAAGACAAGTGAATCTGTTTTATAATATCTGCCTACCTGGTGTTGTACAGAACATTTGTGGACGCCATTTTTGTTTGTTTTCCCCTGTTGTCTTAGTCGTGGTATTTAATTATAGATCATTTAACTTTGTTTGTTTGGGTCTTTATATTTTGGCTGTGTCCAAATCGTCTTGTAAAATAGAGATCGACACCATCTAGCATTTATTTCCCAGTGGTGTCTGAGCCCTGTTAGCATTACCATGTCAGTCAGAAGGTTCTAAGATAATTTTGTTTTCAGACTTGGTAAATGATTAAACCCTCAAAAATAAACAACTTCGCAATCTGAGCAAACATTTTTTTTTTATACAGCCTTTAATGGAAATCTGTCAAAATGATAAAGACTTTGCAGCAGGTTTTCATCTACTACCAGTCTATTCAGAAAATCACAAAACATCACATGATTTAAACTTAGCAAAACTTTCGAAAGAACTTCTGAAATGAGCTGTGTTCAAGTCCTTTGAGACCAGACAAAGAAGCAGGCTGTGACCCGGTGTCAAAGAAATTCCCAAGTATTCTACAGAGAAGGAATTCTCTGATGGAAACAGCACTGCAGAAGTGTTGAGTTATTCCCTGGGAGGAGTGGTTTATTAATCTGTTTGTTCAAAGTTCATTTGTTGAACTGTGAACTTTTCACATTTTTTTTGGTGGAAAAATGAAAGTAAAGTTTCTTGTTGTCCTGAAGTGCTGATTGGCTTTCTCCTGTGTCTCAGTGCGGAGAAAGAGTGGGGTGATGGGATACGAGGTATGTCCATGAGTGCTGCTCGTTTCGCCCTCATGCGCTTGGAGGAAGGTCCACCTCACACCAAGAACTGGAGGTAGAACAGACACAAAGCATGTCATGTCTGGATGTTCTTCTAAGTGAAATGCGTGTGTGAAATCACGTTAACGTGTCACATTCTCTGCTCACCGTCTCTCTCTCTTGGCCGACTCAGCCATCTCCGTCTCGCTGCCTTCATCTGGTTCTTCTTGCTTCTAAATCTTCTCACTGTTTTTTCCTCCCTGTATTTTCACCTTCCCTTCTCTCGCCCTCCGGCTCTAAAGGCCTCAGTTGCTGGTTCTGGTGAGCACAGATGCTGAGCAGAATGTGGAGCAGCCTCGTCTGCTCTCTCTGACCAATCAGCTGAAGGCGGGGAAAGGGCTGACCATCGTTGGCACAGCCCTGGAGGGAACCTACCTGGAGAACATCGATCATGCTCAGCGTACAGAGCAGGTGGGAAGCCTTTAACTGTCAGAGTCAGTTAGTGAATACACCATGAGTGAGTCTGAAATGTTCAAATCTGGGACACTTTGGGTGTCTTACAAAATAAAATAAAGCAGAACAATTGACGTCAAAGTTTCAAGCCCTTTGCGAAGTGTCGAGAAGTACCGTGAATCTCAAACTTGTCGTTCCTCTCCAGGCTCTACGTAAGCTGATGGAGACAGAGAAGGTGAAAGGCTTCTGTCAGGTGACCGTGTCCTCAAATCTGCGTGACGCAACATCTCACCTCCTCCAGGCCAGTGGGCTGGGAGGACTGAAACATAATGCTGTGCTGGTCTCCTGGCCTCGCAACTGGAAACAGGGAGATGAACACCAGACCTGGAGGAACTTCATAGGTGAATCATCTGGATTAGAAATACAGATTAGTTGAACAAAATTAACTAAAAAAATTGTAAAAGTTAAAATATATAGTTTAATAAAGAATAATTAATTTAAATTAAAATAGAGCAGTTAGTCGTAGTTAGAATTTGGTGCTTTTCTGCTGTGGCCAGGGTTCGATTCCCGGTTACAGAAATCTATTTTTGTCAATTGGTAAAACAATAATTACATAAAATCACCTGATACATTGTTGATTATATTATAAAATACATGGTTTTAATGATATGTTTTGTTATACTAAACATTAACACATTTTAATAAATGGTTTAGGATAATTAAAAATATTTAGTTCTTTTTTTGCCTAATTAATTCTACTCAGTTTTCATCCTAACATAAAAATTATTTTTATATGTTGATAATTGTTTGCTCTTGGAAATTCAGTGAAAGGTTATAGAGAAGTCATTGAAAAGTCATGGAAAACCAAGCCATGAAGACCAACAGCAGAAGTGTCCATACTAACAGTCTCCGTCTCCGTGATTCTTCTTCTGCTCAGAGCTGGTCAGAGAAACCACAGCTGCGTCCTTGGCTCTGCTCGTCCCAAAGAACATCTCAGCTTTCCCGTCCAACGGCGAGCGCTTCACAGAGGGTCACATTGACGTGTGGTGGATCGTCCATGACGGAGGCATGCTGATGCTGCTGCCCTTCCTCCTCCGTCAACACAAGGTACAGCTCAGTGTTCAGACATCCTGTTACAGTTAGCTGAACGTGATGGAGACGTGGGGACATTTGACAGTACGCTAATTCAGCGGTCCACAACCTTTTTTGTACCAAGGACCAGTCGGTCGGTATCAGCCGTTACTGTGGACCGGTAATACCACGCCAATTTTCAAAATAAAACATCTGTAGCTATCAGAGTCTGAATGACCTGTTGATTTGAAACATTGACAGATTATTTTTTAATAAAAAAACTAAAGGGATATGACTGGATTTTTTTTGACTGAAGTAAATTAGTATAACTAAAGTACATTTTTTTCCACTGTGTCCAACTGCAGGCCGGTACTTAATGACCTACAGACCAGGAATGGTCCCCGGACCGGGGTTAGAAACCCCTGCACTAATGTGCATACATGTTGACGAAGTCATAAATTGTGCCACCAAGTAACAACACAAGTAACAGATTAAATATAGTTAACTTGGTGATTGTCTTGATTTTTTTTCTAAGCCCAAAAACACAGAACACAAGACATGGTACCACGGTTCTGCAGAACAGATCTAAGGTTGTCCAGTCTGATTCTAATAGAGTGTTTTAAACCATTCGTAATAGTTACAAAAGTCTGAATACTTGTTCGTGTTCTTGGCACTTTAATTTGTTCCACTGGACACTTTGATTGAACTGTATTGATTTTACTGCTCTGCACCAACACTGTGTTCCTGTGTTGTTAACTAATGGTTCATTTCTCTCTGAGAGGTGTCTGTCTGGAGAATGAGACTTGGTGTCTTAAAAAGTAAGAAGTCAGAAGTCCTAGAGTTGGTCTGACCTCTAAGTGATCTACATCAGTGTGTTGACCATGTGACAACCCTTCAAAACAGCAAACGATTTAACAACATCAAATAAAAACATTTTAGTATTTACTACTAGTATTTAGTAGTTTTTGAAACTCCTTGTCTCAGGAACTCTGTTTTCCACTCCACAGGTTTGGAGGAAGTGCAAGATGCGCATCTTCACCGTCGCCCAAATGGACGACAACAGCATTCAGATGAAGAAGGACCTGACCACATTCCTCTACCATCTCCGTATTGATGCCATGGTGGAAGTTGTGGAAATGGTGGGTAAAATAAACCTGGGTTCTCTCAGAACTGCAGTATTTTATTGGAACACCCGATCTGAGCTGCATATGTAATATATTTATACCATTTTGACAATTGTTGACAAGTTGAGATTCATCAACTTTCCGATTTAATGATCAAACGAATGTAATTGTATATTGGAACAGAAATAAACAATTTTTGTTTTATATGTGACAAATCAAAATGAGAGAATTATTAATATGGAAAAAAATCTGAAAATGATGCAAAATCATTTTTTTATTTAATCATAATCATTCACATGCTTCAGTTTATTTGATCAATATTATTAAATATAAAAATAAATATTTATTTATAATATATTTATATATATATAAATATATATAATTATAATTTAATATATAAAATAACACAATATAAATATTAAATATGTAGGGTTATAATGTACACAAGAGCAGCAGAATAGTAGAAAGTGGTAATGGTTTGACCCGAGAATATACAGATCCATACTGTGTGCTCTCTTCACACACCTGATCTATGAGCATCAGCTGCATTTGGGTTTTTTCGATGTAAATTCTTAATGTAAAATTGGAATATGAGCTGTGGCCAATCACATTTGAATGTGAGCGTCATCAGCCTGTCTCGTCCACTCGCTCCACTAAACATGACAAGTATAATTCACAGACAGGGAGACTGTGTCGATGCATAAATGACCTGCCAACTGTGCTACTGACGACTCTGCTGATTGGCCGATTGACTCAACACCAACTGCAGTTTAGGCGTCGGTATCGTTAAAGAAAGGCCTTTTTTCTTAGGTCAGAGAAAGACTGCCTGCTGAAAACAAACATCCATGATAATATTCCTTTTGTTTTTTCTGACGTTACAGCATGACAGTGACATCTCAGCCTATACCTACGAGAAGACCCTGGTGATGGAACAACGGTCGCAGATGCTCAAACAGATCAACTTGACCAAGACCGAGCGGGAGAGGGAGGTAAGATGCTTGACGTCAGCCTTGTGATGGTTTTTTTCCCAGTGCGCTCAGACACTTGACAGGACCTGACAGGGCGACTGGGCAGGATTTGACTTGATTTGACCTAACTTGACACATGAAGGCCTGCAGACAAAGGTCAAATCGGAGCAGTGTCTGGCCACGTCTACCTCCTCTGTCACTGCTCACCAAACGATTCCTTTGCTGCATGATGTGTGTTTGTGTTGGTGGAAATTATCAATCCGAGTGTACGGTAAATTTCACGTTCTACTTCTACTTGAAATAGTAGGTCTTCACGGAGAAGAAATCACGTTCTACTTCTACTTGAAATAGTATGTCTTCACGGAGAAGAAAAACAACAACAAAAATTGTTCCCACATTTTTGTTTCTTTGCTCCTCCTCGTGGTTGATCACAGATCCAGAGCATCACCGATTCATCCCGTGGGTCCATTCGCCGTAAGAACCCGGCGGCTGTGAACACACAGCTGAGTGTTACCGAAGATCCACCAGCAGCCAGCAAGGAGGAGAAGCCTGAGGAGGAGGTAGGTGTAAACCAAATGTCTGAAACTCAAACTTGCAGAGAAAACTGTTTGTGTAATGTTATGTTTTATAGTTACCTTTGTTAAGGACCTTTTCTTTTTTAAAGATATTTGCTTATGCACACAGTCATATATACAAAAAAAAAAATACCCCCCCGCCCAAAAAAACCATAAAGATAAGAATGTAGAAGAAGCTAATTAAAGTAAGTTACAGAGTTCATGCCTCATTTCTACTTAAAAATGTCACATTTTCCGAAAAGGTAGCTAACGAATTTTAGAGGTGTGAGGCCAAAGAGGTGTGGGGCCAAAACATGCCTAGCCTTACCATCGT